ACGTTCCTTCATTACGTGTGTGTGTGTGTGTGTGTGTCCTTAAAATCAGGACTTTGTTTTTCAGAGGAATATTTCAAATTCTCTCATTTGCTTAATGTGTGTAATTTCCAAGTCAGACTGTTGTTTGTTTCCTTTGAACATTTTGTGTCCAAATTTGAATAATTGCATTATTTTCAAACCCATTTACAGTGTTATATTGTATTCTGCGTGCGCTTCCTCCGTGGCGCGGCCGAACATGATCAGATATTTGTAACCCTGCAACTCTTGTCAATATATTTTATAGCCGACTACAAGCGCTATTGATTGCTCAACTTTCAGAGATCAGATTACTCTAAATCAGTAAAACACGAGACCTGCGGTGCCTTTGTGCTGGAAAATCATTTATGATTGGCGTGCATGTTTTATTATTTCCCCTGAATCTGATCTTTGCATTCAGATTCAGCTGTTTTTATATGCTTTGAGTCCAAGTTATAATTTATATAATATATAACATTTCAGTTTTAACCATATCATGCACATTTGAATTAAGGATCGTGTCTTTTCATTGTCATTTTTATTCAGGCACTTTTAATATTAATATTTATTATAATTTTCATAGATTATACTTTATTTTAAGGTGACGTAGTTACGTTGTACTTTTAAAATAAGTATTAATTACATGTACTTACTATATTATTATTTAACTTGCTATAGTATTAGTTAATTACTTGTAATTATGCAAAATTTACTGTTTTCACTATAATAAGTAAATGCGGTAACATGTAACTACATTGTATATAGCCTAAAAAAATATTTATTTTAATATTTATAATACACTAAAAAATGCGGGTTTGTTTTAACCCAACTTTGGGTCAAATATGGACAAACCCAGCCATTGGGTTACATTTTTAAATGACATTTTTAACCCAATGTTTGAGTTTGTTCATATTTGACCCAAAATTGGGCTAAAACAACCCAGCATTTTTTAGAGTGTAGATATTATTTTATTCTTAGTATTTTTACCTAATAAACACAGTTACAAACATGTTTTTGTATAATTTGAAAAGGTTAACTAAAAAGGAAAAAGAAAATGTTATATATCGTGTGTGTGTATATATATATATATATATATTCCTGTCCTGTTCTTTCTGGCTTCACTTTATTATCAGATGAACTCTAATGTGTTTTATATGTTCATATTCACATAAACGTCAGGGTAAAACTCAAGAGTTCCTGATATAATGAACAGGACAGTTCGTATTTTCAAAGTGACTGACATTAGGATTTGCATTTTGTTTTAGATTTAATGCTCGGCACAAACAACAAGGAAGATGAGACATGAATAACACGGATCTCAAAAAGCAGATCTTTACATTTTTACAAATGAATCATGACCAGAAGAGAACGTTTAGTTCTCGATGTTATTGTTCTGAATCACCCCTGATTAATAAAACTCAATCATGTGATGTGGGACTTTTACAGTCCTGAATTTCAAAAGTTTTATAATCAAGCTCATCAGATCTATTTAAAAATAGTGTGTACATTCAACAAGGGATGTTTAAAAAATGTTTTTATAATATAATATAATATAATAAAATAACGTCCAGTTATTATTATATTACCATGCAAAACAAAAATGTGTTTGAGCTCCTGATTTCAGTATTTACAGTATTATTCAGGATTCACATTCTGATGACAAAACATTTCTGTGTTGCTTCTTGTGTTTCCACTTCATGCATTATAAGTCCTAACACACTCTAAACACACTCCACATGCTCTCGCAGATCGCCTGCTGCCCCCTGTTGGCCGTAACACACAGATCAGATTAGATCAGCAGTTTTCATATGCTATCTTTGTCCTAGAAATAATACTAAACATTAGTTATGACTATTCAGAATGAGTCTTATACTCTAGGAACCTTTTTCCTTTGAAGTTGCTATATTGAGAATCTGCTTGTTCTGCTGATATCATGTTCCTTCTGATAAAATAGAAAACAACATCTGCTGGAACAAAACAAGCCCGCTGTATTGACATGCGTAATAATCTCTTCTATGATTTCTTAATATCATATAATACAATTAAACAAGCTGTGTTTGTAGTAATTTACCCTTTGTTTCATGTCAGTATTCACCTGATATTCAGTTCCGTTTGATAAGTAACTTAAATCCAAATCAACAGTGAATCGGCGAGAGCGCGCGTCGAAGCACGCGCGAGGAATTCCATTGACTGCTCAGATCCATTTTTTTCCCCCCCTCGGTTCGGACGGTCTTCTGATTGGCCGAGCCCATCGAGGTCTGTCATCACTGTCCAATGAGAGCGTTCGAAGAGGAGGCGTATGCAAATGAGCTACCCTGGCTGGCGTTCCTGCGCTGCCCAGTGCCACTAAAAGCGCGGATTCATTCACTCTCAACGCATCATCATTCCCACCGCGAGCTGGATTCAGGAAGAATACTTTCTCTCAGCAGCATTACACTCGTATACAAGCGAGCGAATGCACTTTTTTACGTAGTTTAAGACCGCGAATGCGTCGGCGTCAGGTGCGCAACTTCACGCGCACTTTCCAAAGGATACGCGCGTGCCAAATCATCTTCTCCGATGTCTCCTCCTGAAAGAGGAACAACTTCCACATGAACTGACCAGAGTTCAGTTTAGACTGTCCGCGGGGTTTCTCACCTCACCAAAAGGATAGTAAGCTTGAGCTCGTGTCCTTGAGTCGCGCGCGTCGGAATCAGCTGCTCGTCTGGGGTCCCGATCCCGACTGAGACGGTGTTCAAAAGGGTCCCGATCCCGATCCTGATCCTGACTGAGACGGTGTTCAATAGATACCAAATGGTTTTTCTTTGGGACGCCAAATACGGTAAGAGCGTTTCTGAGCTCCGGACACATGCGTAACGGCGGTTTCACGAGTCTATTTTTACGCGTCATGTTTCATAATATCTGAATGTCCAAAGCTGTTAATAATCACTGAAACCTTTAACCTTAACCTACAGCATGATGTCATTTGGACATTCCCATAGGCGAAATGCTACAGATTCTCTGTCTCTCGACTTCACTCAAAAACAAGCAGTAATTAAAATCATACTGCAATAGTACAAAAGTATTAGCAAAAGTGTTCAAATTCGATATGAACAATCAGCAACATGAGAAAAAATGAAACAATATTTATATTACTAAATATGAGCAAGAAAGGGATTAAAAATAAGACTAAATATGAATATGAGAGCAGATATATTTTATTCAGAAATGCACAATTTATACAGAAACTTGCCCTCATGTTTTAAATTCCTCAATTAAAAGCTATTTTAATATTTTTTTGTTCTTATATGCGTTAACTGTCCCAGAGATTGTACAAATATTATTAATATTTCCCCCCAAAGAATGCATGCTGAGTCAGAGTCAGTGCGGTGTATCCAAAATATAGGAAAATATGATGTTCCCATATGAGGAGAAAACAATAAAACAGATTGTGTGTCAATTATATCAATACTATTGCATTTCAACCTTTTTTTAATGAAAATTGATGTTTTATTAAGGTCCAATGGAATTAGAGGACTCATTAATAATATGTAAAATACTTTGGTAACACTTTATTTTAACATATAACATTAGTAATTACTAAATTATGCATAACTAATCCTAATCCCAATTTATTTATAATGTATAATTACAGAGTAACCAATATTGTTGTTGTTTTTTTTTATTGATTTGAACAATGGTTAGATTATTAGACCATGGTTGTTATGTTTTTCCATTGAACCAGAATGTATGAGACCAACAAGAAGATAAAGATTATATTTTTATAAGTTTGGTAAATGAGTTTTTTAGAACAAAAGCAGAATACCTTTTTTAAAAAATCTATTTTTTCTCGTCTCTTTCTTCAAATCTCGCGTGTCCGGCATCTCTCTCTCTCTTCTGCACCTTCTCCCGCTCGCCCCAAACACCCGTCACAGGCTCCAGGTTTGTGTTTGTGCTGGAGAGCGCAGTGTTCTCCGTCACGTGTTCACTCATGTGGCATTGATTGTGGTCGGCCCGAACGACCGCAGGCCTGACGGGTTTAAAGCTTTCATGCGCCTCTGAGGCACAGAAGTCAACCACGGGTGCGCCACCTCAATTGCTCGGAAAAAGTTGTTTTTTTGATACATGGGCATGGTCAAAACTGTGCATTTCTATAGCAATGCATAAAATGAGATATTGTTCAGTTTAATAACAAAAGTGAAAATTACGTAATTGCGGTAAAGTCAATTCACGCTCAAATCTCGTCACACTCAAAATCACTGTAATTCACGGCTGCAGGAGTCTTAATGCAATGCATTAACTCATCAGGACACTCTTGAAAATTTTGAATCGTTAAATAAAGGTAAAAAAGAAACAACTCACTTTAGATCTCATTATACATTAGTTTTTGCAACTGATATATTGCAATCTATATTTTTTCTTATTGTTGCCATGCATTATTGTTGTCCCAACTCACTGTAAAAGAAGGCCGCAAACCGATGTTTAAATAAATAATTTTACTAAAAACGATTATTCTTGCTAACACTGTAAAAAAATATTGTTGGTTTAACCTGGTTGCCTTAAGATTCATTGAGTTAATACAATGAAGAAGAATGATTTAATCATCAGAAACTCAAAATTAAATAAATTATTTAAGTTGATTTGACAAAAGAAAAAATGTCATGATTATTAATCATGAAAATATATTTTTTTTTTATACACAGTCCCGAGCAATGCATCAATTCGCATGTGTGTATATGAAGGTCCTGGGGTCTCACTTTAGATCTCATTTTATAAAATTTTCACCAGTGATACATTGCAAACTTCATTTTTACTTATAGTTGCCATGCATTATAGTAATTTTACTATAGCCCAACTACTCCACTGTAATCTAAGGCCGCAAATGCTAATGTTTGAAATAATAATTCTGCCCAAGTGCAGAGCAAAGCAACAAAGCAGCATCTCGTTTACTATTATTGCAAAAGTGCGATATTGTAAATAGTTTGATATGTTCTGGTGTGTTTCAGAACCTGCGCCTGGGCGACGCTTCACGCCTCCCTCGACGACCCTGAGCTCGGGGAAGATGAACGAGGGTTTGCCTCTGGGCGCTCAGGAGAGCAGTGGCGCCGCCCTGGTGGGGAAACTGCGCATGGCTGACCGGAGCATGGTGGAGGTGCTCTCAGACCACCCAGGAGAACTGGTGCGCACCGACAGCCCAAACTTCCTCTGCTCCGTCCTGCCGACACACTGGCGCTGCAACAAGACCCTGCCCATCGCTTTCAAGGTACTCCACTACACACATCTAATGGGTTATGCATAGGAGGAGCTACTGTGTTTCTATTTGCAGTGTTGTAGTACTCGAGACTCGGACTCGTCTCGGACTCGGTCTCGAGACCATATTTTAATGGTCTTGGTCTTGTCATGGACTCGTGTCCATTTGGACTCGGAATTGACTCGTACTCGAACATTTTTTTTTTAGGACTCGGAATTATTCCCGAGTCCACTCGAGTTCAATTAAAAATATTTTTCATGATTATTAATGTATGTTAATAAAATATTTCTTTAAATTGATTGACACATCCAGTGATTGGTGATTTTCTAGTGCACAACTGCGCATGACAAATTGTAATAAAATTACTTTTAACACCACCTACTATGTGGCCTTTTTACCCTAAACTGATCATATTTTTTAAACTCTAAGTAAATTCAGTAAAAAAAAAAAAAGGATTTCTCTAAGTAAATAAAACTAAATTAGTTAATCAACGCTCACTGGTCTCGGTCTCGACTCGGACTCGACCGTCTCTGGTCTCGCCGCGACTCGGACTCGACTCTCTATGGACTCGGTGTCGACTCGGACTCGAGTGAGGTGGTCTCGACTACAACACTGTCTATTTGATTCAATCATTAAACGTACGGGTGAAACTCGATAAATTAGAATATGGTGCGAAAGTTCATTTATTTCAGTATTTCAACTTAAAAGGTGAAACTAATATATTATATAGACTCATTACATGCAAAGTTTCAAGATATTTCATGATTATGGCTTACAGACAGTGTTGGGTGTAACTAATTAGTTACTGTAATTTAATTACTTTTCCCTTGAAAATGTAAAGTAAGGGATTACTCTTTATTTATCTGTAATTTTATTACAGTTACTCACAGCGATTCGTATGCATTTTATGAGGTGTCTAAATTGTACGACCGCACTCGTACAAATTCGTATGAATTATTGTAAAATAACTATGAAATGTCATGAGATCAGACATAAAACAATAGTGGGTTTAACATCAAAATGTATTGTCTGATGCTAAAAAGTATGTTTTTATAATGTAAGCTTCTCCTTGGTCAGTTTAAGGATAATTCATGCAATTTTATAGTATTTATTTGAAAGAATTAAAACAGATTCATGTCTATCCTTGTATTATTCAGCTGGTTGAGATTGAAATGGGATTTTGAAAGTAATTAGTAATTAAAAGTAATTAAATACTTTTTAGAGAGAGTAATTAGTACATTAATCTAATTACACTGTTGAAGAGATAATTAGTAACTAGTAATAATTACTTTTTTAGAGTAACTTACCCAACACTCCTTACAGATATGAAAATATTTTCACAATGTTCTAATTTTGAATTTGGGTTTTCATAAGCTGTAATGCATAATCATCAAAATTATAACAAATAAAGGCTTGAAATATTTCACTTTGCATGTAATGAGTCTATATAATATATTAGTTTCAGCTTTAAGTTAATACATTTTTTGAGTTTCACCTGTATAAGATTGCCAGTTGTAGCAGTAGTAATCTCAAATACTGTATTTTCCGGACTATAAGTCGCATTAGTCAACAAATACGTTATGAAGAGGAAAAAAAAACATATATATGATGCATTGATCCTAGATCAGACATTTAATATGGAAAGGCAAGTTATTCAACTACACAATAGGTGTCCGGTGTGTTAGCGTAGCACATTAACAGTTATTCAGCTGGACATTAGCATAAAAACATGTTCTGTACCTGGCTGGGAGGCAAGTTTCGTCTCAGTCTGAATTCATTTTTATATATAAATCACACCTAAGTAGCGATAAGTCGCAGGACGAGCTAAACTATGAAAAAAAGTGCGACTTATAGTCCGGAAAATACGGTAAATTTGCACAACCGCATCTTTATCAGACTATCAGACAGACTTGTGCTAAGTGCTGAAATGGGCATTTTAAAATCTTACAATCTCACATTGTTTTTTTTTTAATGCACATCCTTAATTAAGCTAATGATTTGGAGGGAAACGTCAGTAATTGTTGCTAATCTCTTGTTGTCACGGGTGACCGCAACATCTTTCATCATCATCTTCCGCATTTGGCAAATGACGAACCACCCAGTCTTGCCAAAAGCAGAGCGTAGTCCTGCGAGGCATGTGTGCTCTCTGAAACAAAGAGATGAAGAATGAGCTGACATTTACAGTTAATATGCAAATAACCGGCTCATTTAGTTTAGATGTGGAGATGTTCAACAAGTGGATGTGACGCAGGACAGTATAGTGGATTTGAATGTAGTTTGGGTTTCAGTATCTAAACAATGTTTTTGCTTAATAATAAAGTCATTGAATATGTATAATAATAACGAAATTACAGGAAATATTCATGTTAAAGGAATACTTCACTTTAAAAAAAAAAAAAAAAAACTTCTGCTGATAATTTACTCGCCCCCATGTCATCCAAGATGTCCATGTCTTTCTTTCTTCAGTCGGAAAGAAATTAAGGTTTTTGATGAAAACATTCCAGGATTTTCTCCACATAATGGACTTCAATGGGGTCCAAACGGTTCAAGGTCAAGTGCAAACTGTTCAAAGGGCTTTAAACGATTCCAGACGATGAATAAGGGTCTTATCAAGCGAAGCGATCGCTCATTTAATAAATAAATAACAAAGTTTAAGTTTCATAAGCTCAAATGCTCGCTTTGCTCTGTTCTGTGACGCGCGTTCGTGACTCTCCTGTTCGAACTCTTTTTTCATTATATGGAGAAAAATCATGGAACGTTTTCATCAAAAACCTTAATTTCTTTTCGACTGAAGAAAGAAAGACACGGACATCTTGAATGACATGGCGGTGAGTAAATTATCCACAAAACAATAACTACTACTTTAATAATATTCAGTTGTATACACACTAGTGTTTGGGGTCAATAAGATTTGTTTAAACAAATCAATACTCAGCAGAGATGGATCAAATTGTTTAAAAATGACTGTAAAAACTGTTACATTTGAGAACATGCTGTTCTTTAAAACTTTGTTCATCAACATTTATAATAATAATAATAATAATAACCAAGCATTATTTATTCATTACATTTTAAAACGTGCTATTATTTTTAATCATTGCATTAATAGTTGTGACTCCTCCATTATCCATGACTTTCAGTTGCAACGTAGTGTGATAATTGTCGTACGTTGTATTTTTGGATTGTTTCTAAAATAGTAACAAAGTAACACATCTTGCTCATCCGTTGATTGACAGGTGGTTGCCCTCGGCGACATCCCTGACGGCACGCTGGTCACTGTGATGGCCGGAAACGACGAGAACTATTCTGCCGAGCTTCGAAACGCCACGGCCGCCATCAAGAACCAAGTGGCCCGTTTCAACGACCTGCGTTTCGTGGGCCGCAGCGGACGAGGTTAGAAGTGACGCCGCACATGATAAAACTCACTCACTCACGAAGGAAACACGGTGGATGAGACTCACCGCTGAGCCGTGACGGAGATATTTTAATGCAGTGTCTGCGGTGCACAGAAGTCTGTGTGTGTGTGTGTGCTTGGTTAATTGCGTATATGTTCCTATTTGTGTTGATACAGCGCTCACACATCAACACAGTCACTTCCTACTGCAGGTCTTATCTATTTAAAACACCAGCCTCTATATGAAGAGTTCAGATGCAAAAGCCTCTAAATGCCATTTGAAATTTTCTTCTAAAATGATCATTTTTATCAAGCTTGTATATTTAAGTTCAGTAATTTCACTTAAATAACAATTAATAGGTAATTATCATTGCCATTTAAGTGAAATTACTGAACTTAAATATACAAGCTTGATAAAAATGATCATTTTAGAAGAAAATTTCAAATGGCATTTAGAGGCTTTTGCATCTGAACTCTTCATATACACTAGTTTGAAGCACTTCTCTGTGTGCAGTAATGACATTTTTGTGGCCATTCAAAATTCAAAACGCATCTCTTGGGACGACTTCTGATGGTATTGACGAGATGACAGAGTAGTTAGTCAACAGGATGACGAGCTTCTGGGAAAGCAGTAAGGGGTCCCACAGGGCTCTATTCAAGGCCCGATGTGATTTCGTTGATACACTCCTGCCTTTAACACACATGCCTGGGCCTGCGATAAACACACTCCTTTGTCCTGCCCTCTTTTGTCTGCATCATCATTTGAACGCAGCATAATAGGGGCAATGTTTGCAACAGGTGTGTGACAGAATGCAAAATGAAATGTTTGTGTACAGAGAGGAGCGTGAATGTTTAGTCGAGATTGTTACACACAAAAAAGTATTTTATTGCATGAAAGTCTTGCATTTCAGTGAGTGTTGTTTATCCAAGCGACGCTTGTGTTTTGTGTGTGTGTGTGTTTGTGAGAGCAGCTGCGATGGAAGCGATTAGTGCCGGAAAAGAAAAAAAACAGCAAGAGTGTGTTAAGCAAGGGAGAAATGTAAACTATGCATATCTACGCACTCTTGCTACTCTGTATTATGCAGATGTGTAGATAAGACAGCAAAGACTGCATCTGTGTGTGTGTGTGGCTTTTGATGTCCATCAAGCGTTTCGTTCTCGCTGTTGATTCACTCGATGTCTTCAGGTACATTTATTAAGAGTCTTGCTGTGTCAGTTGGACTTGTCAGTGCACACACACGGCGTACAGTAACATAGACACAGATAAACAAATTATAAACAAATTGCACCACCACACACACACACACACACACACACTTTGTATGGGGATCGTCCCCCCTGAGAAACACGGTGCACTTCCTCCCTGTTTGGACACTGAGTCTCTCAGACAGAACGACTCCCGTCCAGACGCTAAACCACTGAACCACAGTGTGTGTGTGTGTGTGTGTGTGTGTGTCTGTGTGTTAGACAGGAACAAATTAGTTTTTTTGCATTTATATTTCTTGAGGATTCATGCACAAAAACGTACTGTGGCAGTGGCAGATACTAAGATAAGATAAGATAAGATAGTACTTTATTGTCCGTGTACACGGAAATTTGTCTTGCAACACAAACTCCAACAATTATAACACACACAAACTAAAAACAATATATGAAGAGTTCAGATGCAAAAGCCTCTAAATGCCATTTGAAATTTTCTTCTAAAATGATCATTTTTATCAAGCTTGTATATTTAAGTTCAGTGATTTCACTTAAAAGACAATTAATAGGTAATTATCATTGCCATTTAAGTGAAATTACTGAACTTAAATATACAAGCTTGATAAAAATGATCATTTTAGAAGAAAATTTCAAATGGCACTTAGAGGCTTTTGCATCTGAACTCTTCATATACTAATACATTACCACATAAATATAGCAGGGGATTAATTTGCATGCCTCCAAAACATCATGGTGTTATCGTAGTAAAAGACTGCTCAAATATGATATCAGATACTATGGTACTTTATTTATTTGATGAGGCCTATTTTCACTACTTCACTATTCCAAAGTTTTCTCCATATAATGGACTTCGATGGGGTCCAAACGGTAAGACAGTTTCAGTGCAAACTGTTCAAAGGGCTTTAAACGACTCCAGACGATGAATAAGACTCTTATCAAGCGAAACGATCGCTCGTTTAATAAATAAATAACAAAGTTTAACTTTTATACGCTCAAATGCTGTGTTCTGTGATGCGCGTTCGTGACTCTCCTGTTCGAACTCGTTCATCAAAATGAACGAATCTTTTTTCGTTTGAGCTTATAAAACTTAAACTATGTTATTTATTTATTAAATGAGCGATCGTTTCGCTTGATAAGACCCTTATTCATCGTCTGGAGTCGTTTAAAGCCCTTTGAACAGTTTGCACTGGACCTTGAACCGTTTGGTTCCCATTGAAGTCCATTATATGGAGAAAAATCCTGGAATGTTTTCATGAAAAACCTTAATTTCTTTTCGACTGAAGAAAGAAAGACATGGACATCTTGGATGACATGGGGGTGAGTAAATTATCAGCAAAAGTTTTTTTAAAGTGAACTACTCCTTTAAGGCTTTATTGTGGTAATTTATTTACATGGTACTTCAGTTCCACACTGCCTGTCCACAAACATGGTATTATAATGCAATCTGACACATATCGTGGTTTTAACATGGTACTCAAGAATACCATAGCACTTTTCTGTAAAGTGAATGTTGTGAACGTCCTGTAGTAAGTGCAGATTGTGAGTGTGTGTTTGTGTGTTTATGTCTGTGTGAGATCATCGTAGACAGAAGTGGATCGGTGTTGTCAAAGCGACTGCGCTCAGAATAGCACCTGGCATCGGACTGCACATCTGTGCTACGTGTGTGTGGTCAAACCCGTAGTTATTTTGTTCCCCATATTTTGGGGAACAGCTTGGAGTTTTTCCCAGCTCTATGTTTCTGGCCGTATAGCGACTACTGCGCGCGTGTGTGTGTAACCGTACCTTTCTTTGGCCGACGATCTTAGGCCCGTTTAGTGCTGTGTAACTCAAACCTGCTTCTGGCACGCAAAGGGACGCCTCTCTGGGGTCCTTCTCATCGCCATAGCGATGAGTGACAGGTGAAAGCATCAGGAATTGTGGGTACAAACCCCAGCTCCCATAATCCTCTCAGTTCATAGTTGTGTAGTTCTACACATATGCACGTCTCGTCCTATAGTGTCAGAGAAGAAGCTCATTATGAAAGCGTAAATAAAATATTATTGAGTGTGTGTGTGTGTGTGTGTGAATTAATACAAACAATGAATTTCAGGCGAGTCAGTGTGTTTTCCAGTCGTTTGGCACCAGTGAAGTCCAAAATACCTCTCAAAACACTCACAATTACACTGATAATAATCATTAATGTTTGTTGAGCATCAGATCCTCATATTAGAGTGATTTCTGAAGGATCATGTGACACTGAAGACTGGAGTAATGATGATTTGATCACAGGATATAAATTACACTTTACGATATATTCACACAGAAAACATAATAATATTAATATTTCAGAATTTTACTGTATTTTGCTCAAAGATGTACATAGAAAACGTACTTTAAACAAAAAGTTAAAAAAAAAATGACTGACCATAATATAGATGGTTGCATATGGAAATAGATTAGAAATAAAGAAAAAAAAATAAAGGAACTATATTTTAGATAAAGAAAATTAAACCTGTTTTGTACTTTTTTACTTTGGATGTTTTACTGTAATTTTTGTTATGCTGCTTCTCATCATTTTATGTGACGTGTTTATGACGTTTTGGATTAAAGTGCTGAGAATTGAAAATAATGTCCTAAAGGTCCTGTATTCTCTTTATGCAAAATACTATTTCTTTCTTTTGACTTTTTAAATGCAATATTGACTGATTGATTTAGAGAGAGAGAGCATCGAGTGAGTGAGTGAGTGAGTGAGTAAGTGAGAGTGTGTCTGTGTGTATGAGAGAGCATCTAGTGAGTGTGCGTGTGTGTGTGTGTGTGTGTGTGTGAGCATCTATACATGTGAAATCTGCCTGTCTTTGTGTCGTGGCTCCTCTCAATATCTCACTGAATTATTTTCAGACTTGATTTCTCTCTCTCTCTCTCTCTCTCTCTCTCTCTCTCTCTCTCTCTCTCTCTCTCCGAGATCCTCCATGTGTCCTCTGTTTATTTGGGGCCTCGGTCACATGACGTGTTGTTTGGCCCGTGTCTCGTCTGTACCGTCTGAACTCTGTCTCTGTTTAAGGACACAAAGCGCCTGTAAATTCCCTTCTGTCTCTGATTGTGAGTTTTTTATGCTCTAATGACGACAGCCGTCCATCAGACGTCTTCATCCAGAAATAGTGTCGTCTCGCCTGTGTGTTTTACAGTCTCACACTCCTTAAACGAACACATCTGACATGTAGCAACTAATAAATCTATCCAGTGCTGATTCTGACTGCAGATGATGACCTCTGACCCCTGTGTGTTTGTGTTTCTCAGGGAAGAGTTTCACGCTCACCATCACGGTCTTCACAAACCCTCCTCAAGTGGCCACGTATCAGAGAGCCATAAAGATCACGGTGGACGGGCCCCGAGAACCACGCCGTGAGTCACACACACACACACACACACAGTTGCATCACACTTATAAACGTGCACGTTAGATATGCTACATTGTCACGTGACCTTCAGACATTTTTAAGTGTTACAGGGATTCTTTTAACAAGATGTGAAATAAGCCTTTGATGTCCCCAGAGTGTATGTGTGTGTGTGTGTGTGTGATATTTTCATATAATGTTAAAATTAAAAACACACAATTTTTTGTGAGTGTCCCTTTAAATGCAAATAAGCTGCTGCTCCCAGCACAGAGGGCGGAGCTACAAAAGCTTGTGTGTGTATTAGCAGCTCCTATTACCTCACACACACACACACACACACACTGACTAAACTTTCAAAAACTTTTAGCCTTTTATGTTCAATGTTTATATTATGTCATGATAACCTACACATCTAGTTCCCGAGGGCGGGGTTTATGTAAATTTTAGGGTTTGGGATGTCACTAGCCCATGAAGAAGCTCGTTGTAGTTCCTATCAGCCGTTTGTTGTAGTCCTTAAAAAGCGATTTGTAACTTTAAAATGTTGTAACTTTGCAGATGTTGTTTACGCTCACACAGCAACATTACACACTAACTAACGTTAAAAAAGTGAAATCATATTCAAGCACCCCTTTAAAAAGCGAGTTGTGGCCATACTAGCGTTCAGGCTAGCGTGTGCACTAGCGGCTGGTGTTTTATCCTCATGTCATCACGGGTTTCGTCAGCCTCGGCTGGCCTGTTTGATGTGGTGTGTCTGTCGGCGTGAGGGTGTGTGTTGCTTGCAGGATGAGGTTTCATTTAGTCTTTGCTGTGATTCGACTGGTGAGATTGAAGTCTGATTGTTACAGGATGTTGGTTCACAGTTAATATTTATGTCCCGTACGACATGGTATTCGAGGTACATACTTATTAGTAGGATTAATTATAATTAATAAATAATTATTTTTGGTAATAACCTTTAAGATTATGTTTTTTATTATTATAATTAATAATAATTATTGTATTAAGTAATTTATACATTTAATAAATGTACTAATAAATACATCTTAATACATAATAGGTATTATTAGTAAAAAACAATTATAATTATTATGTTTTTCCATTATTGTTTTTGAATATTATTATGAATAATAAGTATGCTTAATTATAACTATTGTATTAATTAATTATTATAATTAATGATGTAATATTAGTATTATTAATAATAATGAACAATATTTATATTATAATTAATTTTACTTATAATATTTATTATGTATTCATAAATTATTATTATATTTTTCGTTATTATTACTATATGTATTAACTAATTACGAAAGTTGCTATAATAATAATAATAATAACATGTTTAATAATACAGAAATATTATTAGTTAAAATAATTATAATTACTAAAGTATTATTATTGTTATTAATATTATTATTAATAATAATAATAAAGTAGTATTCATATTATTAATAATAATGAACAATATATATATTATAATTAATTTTACTTATAATATTTATTATGGATTGATATATTATTATTATTATTTTTGCATTGTTATTATCATATGTATTAACTAATTATGAAAGTTGCTAAAGTATTATTAATAATAATGAAAATATAATAATAACATCTTAATACATAAATATTATTAGTTAAAATAATTATAGTTACTAAAGTATTATTATTGGTGTTCCATTATTGTTATTAATATTTCTACTAATAATAATACTTTACCAATTTTAATAATTAATTAATACAATAACATTTACTATGTACTAAGTTTATTATTATTATTTATATTATTATTTATCATTTAGTGACTAAAATAATTTAATAACATTTATTAATGTTCATTATTATTATTATTAAAAGCTTATCACCTGTTATTTGTATTGGTATATGTCTGAATCCTGGTGGTTTTAATGTAGTTAGTGTTGCTCACACTCGTGTAAAGTGTGTTTTAATAGCGTGTGTGTCTGTATATGAATGTGTATCGCGCACATGTTGGCCGCTCTATTCCCCGCTGGTCCGTTATTCCGGTCGGGAATCCTCCGGACGGCGCCACTCCGCATATACTCCGGGTCAGTCTGGCGGGATGCGCTGGCCGGGTCTTCAAAGCTCTCTGGTTTCAGCAGGACTTCCTTGCTCGCGTGCGGATGATGGCTTCACACAGCTGTCCTTTCTGTTCCTTTCCGTCACCTGTGATCATTAATCCCAGTCTCTATGTGTGAGGTCAGAGCCACACACACACCAGACAGAACAGCGCCTCCTACTGGAGCAGTGACATGCTGGTCTCCTCATTTAGCCCCATTAGTAGGATGTGTGTGTGTGTGGTCAGCAGTGCTGTACATGTACTCTGGATTATGTAATCAGATTCTAATAATGTATATTAAATTTTAAAAGTCAGATTACCGTTGCTTTTTTATGGATTACGTGATTATTATTATTATTTTTATTATTAAAAATTATTTAATTCCACACATGTCTATCAATCAAAACTTTTATAACAGACTCAAGGTCCAAATCTTACCCACAGCAATACATGAATACACCATAACGCACATGCATACATACATACATACTAGGGCTGTCAAATGGTTAATCGCGATTAATTGCATCCAAAATAAAAGTTTGTGTTTACATAATATATGTGAGTGCACTGTGTATAATTATTTTGTATATATATAAATAAATACACACACATGCATGTATATTTAAGAAAAAAACATTATGTTTATATAAAATATTGATATTTATATAATATAAATTATATATAAATAGTATATACATGAAAATATTTATTAAATATATACAAGCATGTGTGTGTATTTATATATATAAAATAATTATACACAGTGCACCCACATATATTATGTAAACACAAACTTTTATTTTGGATGCGATTAATCGTGATTAATTGTTTGACAGCCCTAATACATACATATAAAAATAAAACAAAATAATAAAAAAAATAATCATTGTTCTACCAGAAGACAATTACACCAGTGTTTCCACATATGGAATCACTATCTATATTTATTTTAAGTAAATTTTTTCAATAATTTAATAAAACATTTGCATGTTCACGGTTCTCTGATGTCGAATGACTTGCAGGTACACATAAACAGTTTGTTGTTAATAGGGCTGTCAAACGATTAATCGCGATTAATCGCATCCAAAATAAAAGTTTGTGTTTACATAATAAATGTGGGTGCTCTGTGTATAATTATTTTGTATAAATATACATACACACACATGCTTGTATATATTTAAGAAATATTTTCATGTATATACTGTATATAGATTTATATATTATATATAAATAATATTTTTTTCTTAAATATACAATCATGTGTGTGTATTTATATATATATACAAAATAATTATACACAGTGCACCCACATATATTATATAAACACAAACTTTTATTTTGGATGCGATTAATCGCAATTAATCGTTTGAAAGCCCTAGTTGTTAATGTTCAACTTTTACTGTTTCTGTTTTCACTGTTCATTTTTATGATTTCATTTAATTATCAGCTTTCACAAACCCAATCTGGTGTTTAATGCACTTCTATTTGTTGATAATAACATTTTATTTATTTTTTTTATCAATATGGTGCACAACAATTCTTTAAATCCATGTGTCAAATAAGTTGGGTCCAAAGTAATCTAAAAGTAGTCCGAATAGACTACATTACCTAATATTTGTAATTCAATAGATTACGTTTAATAACGGCAATTTGTAATCAGCATTTAGTAAGCATTAATCTACTGGTGCTCAGATCATAGTGTACATGTCTAATAGTTGTTGTGTTTGTGTGCTTAAGTGGCTTTGGTTCTGTTAATGGACACTCAGTAACTGAATCGTTCTCTCTCATGTCCGTTCTGTGTGTGTGTGTGTGTGTGTGTGTGTGTGTGTGTCCAGGCCACCGACAGAAGCCGGATGAAGCGGTAAAGCCCGGCGCGTTAGCTTTCTCTGAGCAGTTGAGGCGAAGTGCCATGCGCTGCAGTCCACACCATGGCCCCGCCCCCCGCCCCGCCCTGACCACGCCCCCTTTCAGCAGCCCCGCCCACAGCCAGGTCCCCGGTGAGTTACACCTATCTCTGCATCAGTGTTGGGGTAACTCATTACAACTAACTTTAAGGTTTAAGGTTTACTTTATTGTCCCAGAGGGAAAAAATACAGCCAATGCATCACATAAAACAAGAATAGATTATAATAATTACTCGTGTTATTTAATAGCTTAATGGCCGAAGGAATAAACGAGTTCATAAACCGGTTGAATCTGCTGCTCTCGTACCTTAACCTTGAACCTTAAAGTCTTCAGGCTTTATTGTGTCATCCCTGAGTATTTATGTATTTTTAATGTATGACACAGACTACTGTTTATATATTTTTTTAAATTAAAGTGATCAAATAATCAATCAATCAATCAATACCCGATGGCAACATTTCAACTTGAGTTATGTAATCAGATTACTTTTTCAAGTAACTAGTAAAGTAATGCATTACTTTTAAAATTTACAACAATATATCTGAGTTACTTTTTCAAATACGTGTTCCCATGTGTTGACTGACAGCTCTCCTGTCCCCATGTTGAGACAAATGGAAGTGCAGACGCGTGTGTGTGTGTGTGTGTGTGTGTGTGTGTGTGAACATGATGGTTATTGTAATGTAAAAGTGCTTTTCTCATCTCACTTGCATACAAAAAATAAATAAATATTCCTCAAAATGATTAAAATCAGTGAAATGCAGAATCAGAATATATGCAAAACTAAATATGTTAAATAAAACATTTTTATGCATTTAATCTCACTTTATTGACCAATGTACTTGCTTCTGGCCATATAAACAAAAATGTCTATAGATTATTTTATTGTTGTTTTTTTTACCGCTGAAAGGTTTGCTTGAGTTGCGCTCGTTACTGTACGCCCAAAAATATAACTTTTTTTGTTATAAATAAAAAGTAATGCAAAAGTAACATAATGCATTACTTTTCTAAAGAAGTAAAGTAATGCTAATTCTAAACACGATTAGCTACTTTTAAGGGAGTAACACAATATGGAAATGCATTATTTTTCACTGGTGTCGGTTCCGCTCTGTTCTGTCCGATTATTGTTCAGTTTTCATTCGTCTATTGCAGGGATTCCCACACTTGTTTATGTTCTGCTTAAACCGCACCAGTCTATATAAGAGAAGCTGAACTCATCTGATGGACAATATTTACAAAACTCCCCCTGAGAACATATTTGCATGTTCAGCGTTTTCTGATGTCAGTAAATGGTCTTGTATAAATATATATATATACACAATATATACAGTATATAGCAACATTTTATAAAATGAGTCAGAATTTGCTCCAGACACTTTTTTGTTTTGTGCTTTTGCATTAGTGTACTAGAGTGATAGTGAAAGGAAACACAAGAGTGTGTGTGTGTGTGTGTGTGTGTGTGTGTACATATGTGTGCATTTGTGTGTGCATTTGTGTGTGTGTGCATACATGTGTGCATTTGTGTGTGTGCATGTGTATGCATTTGTGAGCATTTGTGTGTGTGCGTGCATTTGTGAGTGTGTGCATTTGTGTGTGCATTTGTGTGTGTGTGTGTGTATGCATTTGTGAGCATTTGTGTGTGTGCGTGCATTTGTGTGTGCATTTGTGTGTGTGTGTGTGTGTGTGTGTGTATGCATTTGTGAGCATTTGTGTGTGTGCATTTGTGTGTGTGCGTGCATTTGTGAGTGTGTGCATTTGTGTGTGTGTGTATGTGTTTGTGTGTGCATTTGTGTGTGCATGTGTGTGTGGGTGTGCATTTGTGTGTGTGTGTGTGTGTGTACATATGTGTGCATTTGTGTGTGCATTTGTGTGTGTGTGCATACATGTGTGCATTTGTGTGTGTGCATGTGTATGCATTTGTGAGCATTTGTGTGTGTGCGTGCATTTGTGAGTGTGTGCATTTGTGTGTGCATTTGTGTGTGTGTGTGTGTGTGTGTGTGTGTGTGTATGCATTTGTGAGCATTTGTGTGTGTGCGTGCATTTGTGAGTGTGTGCATTTGTGTGTGCATTTGTGTGTGTGTGTGTGTGTGTGTGTGCATTTGTGAGCATTTGTGTGTGTGTGCATTTGTGTGTGTGCGTGCATTTGTGAGTGTGTGCATTTGTGTGTGTGTGTGTGTGTGTTTGTGTGTGCATTTGTGTGTGTGTGTGTGTGTGTGCATGTGTGTGTGGGTGTGCATTTGTGTGTGTGGGTGTGCATTTGTGTGTGTGTGTGCATTTGTGTGTGTGCATATGTGTGCATTTGTGTGCATGTGTGTGTGTGTGTTTGTGTACATATGTGTGCATGTGTGTGTGTGTTTGTGTACATATGTGTGCATTTGTGTGTGTGCATGTGTTTGCATTTGTGTGTGTGTGTGTGTGTGTGCATTTATATGTGCATTTGTGTGTGTGTGTGTGTGTGTGTGTGTGTGTGTGTGTGTGTGTGTGCATTTGTGTGTGTGTACGGCACGTTGTTATTGGTTCTGCTTGTTCCTGGCAGGTGACGGGGGGAAGTTGGGACACATCACACATCATCGGACGTTCAGACATAACAAATACAGTGAACAAGGCCTCCTTTGATTGGAGCTTAGACAAGCATGCCAGAGCGTGCCACACACACACACACACACAGCGTTTAAGCCCCAATAACAATCAGCCAAAGCCTTGTGGTGTCCGCAACTGTTTCTCTGCTCTTTCATCGTTTCTTTTGTTTCACACTACAGAGAAGCCAGATGTAAATATCGGCTCTTTTACTGTACAGAGGAATGTTCAAATTACACGTTTGCTTCGATTAAAGCAGCGCGGGGGTGTTTCACACACACTGAACTCTGGGACATTCCTGCAGACTCATGCTGTTGGAGTGTGGCGAGGCATATTCGTTTATGAAATATTTCCGGTAATTTGATTACGCTTCCAGTTAGGAATAAGCGGGGTGTGTTTCTGCATTGAAACGGCCAGATGAAGTGCAACAGATTTACACAGAAAATGAATGGAGTCTCTCGTTCTCGTCGAGGCTGCGTTTACTTGATCAAAAGTACAGTAAAAACAGTGAAATATTATTACAATTTAACACAGCTGTTTTCTATGTGAATATATGAAGAGTTCAGATGCAAAAGCCTCTAAATGCCATTTGAAATTTTCTTCTTTAATGATGATTTTTATCAAACTTGTATATTTAAGTTCAGTAATTTCACTTAAATAACAATTAATAGGTAATTATCATTGCCATTTAAGTGAAATTACTGAACTTAAATATACAAGCTTGATAAAAATCATCATTAAAGAAGAAAATTTCAAATGGCATTTAGAGGCTTTTGCATCTGAACTCTTCATATAGTAACATGTAATTTATATCCTGTGAATTTTCAGCATCATTACTGTGTCACATGACCCTTCAGGAGGATCTGATGAAACATTTATGATTATTATCAGTGTTGAAAACAGTCATTCTAATACATGCCGTTAAAAAACAGCATTTAAATGAAATAGACTCATCATTATTAATGTTTTTACTATCACTTTTGATGGATTGAATGCATGCGTGCTGAACAGAAGTATTAATTTTAAATGATCTTCTGAGAAATGAACTGACGACAGCTCTAAGTTTGGCACTTCTGCTTTTCATGCGCTGGTTAAAACATTTCCCAATCTGAAAACACTGAGATCCTCTTAGTTTCTCTTCCCCTTCATGGGTGCAGATGGGAGAAAGGTGTGTGTGTGTGTGTGTGTGTGTGAGAGAGAGAAAGGCGAGCACCTTGCGCATGTAACGAGGAGGAAGTAGAACGCAGAAAAGAGGAAGTGAGACGTGCTTGACAGGAAACAGGCTTGTGTGAAAATCCCTCAACCAAATCTAGAGCTGTTTGATTTTATTCAAGTGGATTTCAATATGCAGGCAAAACCAAAACCATTGTCTTAGTCACCAAAGTCGTTTTAGCCTCTTCTGGTGCATTTTTGAATGAAAAGTTTGGTAACACTGTATTTTACGACTGCGTAAGTAAACCCAAATTACGTAGCGTGTTGGTATACGTTTTTAAGTTTAATTAAGGGCTAATAAGTAGATATACAAACAAATTATTTATGATGTTATTATTTTAAAACTAACATGTACCTATTCTGTTAATATATTCCTGGCGAAAATTGTTGTATACAAATCTGTTGTATATAAAAATTATCGTCACAAATCTGGCAAAATATGTTCTTGTGCAATTTTACAGGGTAATTTTGGCATCTCTGGGTTGACTTAACATTACATTTTCAATGTTTAAACAATAAATTCATTTATATCATACTGTGCTTATGTACAGCCATATATATATATATATGAAGAGTTCAGATGCAAAAGCCTCTTAGTGCCATTTGAAATTTTCTTCTTTAATGATGATTTTTGTCAAGCTTGTATATTTAAGTTCAGTGATTTCACTTAAATGGCAATGATAATTACCTATTAATTGCCATTTAAGTGAAATCACTGAACTTAAATATACAAGCTTGGTAAGAATGATTATTCTAGAAGAAAATTTCAAATGGCATTTAGAGGCTTTTGTATCTGAACTCTTCATATATATATATGTTTAATTTTCAAGCCACAGACGTCAAAAAACATATTTTGCCAGAAATGTGACGATAACTTTTATATACGACAGACGAACAATTTTCGCCTGGAATATATTAACAGAATAGGTTCCTGTTAGTTTTAAAATAATTACGTTATAAATAATTTGCTTGTAAATCTGCTTGTTACCCCTTTATTTCCCAAAACTATATTGTTCCCTTACACCGTGTCCTAACTACACGGGACGTGACACGCGATAAAAGGTATCTTTTCCATGTTAATCAGAGTTTTTGTCCTAACGGTCCTTTTGTCCTTATGGAAAGCGCTTTGTGCACCTTTCTGGGTATTGTAATGGCGCTATATAAATAAAGATTGAATTGAATTGAATTGAACCAGACGCGACGGCGACACGCGAAGTTTCTAATTTAGAAACGGTTCCTTTTTCTGCGACGTCACGGCTGACAGAATGAAGAAATTACACTGGTTATTATGAGTAGGGTTGGGTATCGATTGAATTTGAACGATTCTGATTCCGATTCCGATTCCTTGTTTCGATTCCCGGTTCCTAACGATTCTCGATTCCGATTCTTTTAAGAGGCAGGGTCAAAAAAGTTTAGCTAACCTTGCTAACCAACGGCCTTTCTGAAGGAAATACTCCTTCTGTAAAAATACTCCTTTTGTCACAAATTTTGCCGAGATTTCATTATTTTTAGAAAAGCGAAGCCACACTTTGGATCGCCGACGTAAGCTACTCATGTTCGACTTGCGTGGTTATGCCAACACTTCCGGTAGACGCTTCTTCGTTGGTGTTGTTCAGCGGTTTCTTCTTCCGCTCGGCGGACTGTGAATATCGAAACTAGGAATCGAAATTTTTACTTTTGAACGATTCCGGGAAAAACGAAAAGTTAGTCTCGGTTCCAATCGATACTCGATTCTCGATACCCAACCCTAGTTATGAGTACACATTATTTATTTTTAGTTAAAAATGTCACTGTGCCACAAGAAAACGGATAATTTACCTCAGATTTTGAAATCATATAATATGGCGTTCAAAATGAATTCTATGCAAACATACGACTGTACTTCATAACAAAATTAGTCAATGAGTATATTTTGTTAATGTTTTGATTTTTAATAATGTTATTTCTTGATTTGATTTATGTCCTTACCCATTTCCAATGTGAGTGCGGGCCAACAGTGCGCTTTCACCCACACGCTGTTCTGAATGGCTGTGATTTTTGAGTGTGGCGTCTCAGTCGCGTCGCGTCTAGTGTGGACAGACACACTTGCTGTCGCTGGAATTTTAGTGCGTCGCGTGTAGTTAGGACACGGTGTTATACCTACACAGGAGTACGCTATAATTAGAGCCAGACCGATATTATCGGCCGATATTAGGCATTTTCCAAACTATCGGTATCGGCAGTTATAATGGCCGATAAATTAATATTTCGAAAATAAAATAAAAACGGACGAAACGCGCTTGAACCATGTCATGAGTGTTGAAGTTGTATAGTTTGTCCACCAGAGGGCACTCTACACCGTTCCTGTTGGCAGCACTTTATGGCGCATAAACTGAGATAATGAGAGAAATGTTGATTGTTGGTTTGACTGTAGAAGATTCTTTCATTGAAATTGAAAACATGAGCTGCTTTGAGCTCGATCGTCCAGCTCTCGATGAGAAACTGTGGAAGAGTAAAGCCTGAGCAGTGAAATGTTCCCGCTGCGTTGATGTGTGTGAGTGAGCGCTGACAGGAGCGAGTGTGTCGCGGGACAGAGAGTTTCCCGCTTCCCTCTGATCCGCCGGCCAGGAATAGAGCGGGATTACGGCCAGCGGAAACCGTTATTAAGTCATTCAAAAGCTCTCTCTCTCTCTTTCTCTCTCTCTCTCGTTCTCCGCTACTTCTCTTTTCATAACTGTGGAAATAAGAAGCAGCTGGACACGACTTGTGTGTGTGTGCGCGATTATTTGTGTGTGTGTGAGATTATTTGTGTGTGTGTGTGTGTGTTCGGACGAGCTCTGCCGATTTGAGGAAGCTTGTGTTTGCATTTGTTTGCGGAGTTAACTTTTGCTCAGATTAGGGAAGTTTGGACAGGAGTGTGTTTGTAGCGTATACGTGTGTTGCTCTACACTGTACAAAAAGAGCTGTCGATTTTAAAGTGCACTCAATTTAAAGTCATTTAAACTTAAATAAGTTATGTTGAAGAGTTAAAGCAATGTTAAAAACACAAGTTGTCATAACCAGTGTTGGGTAAGTTACTCTAAAAAAGTAATTCATTACTAGTTACTAATTACCTCTTCAACAGTGTAATTAGATTACTGTATGAATTACTCTCTCTAAAATGTATTTAATTACTAATTACTTTCAAAATCCCATATCAGTCTCAACCAGCTGAATAATACAAGGATAGACATGAATCTGTTTTAATTCTTTCAAATAAATACTATAAAATGTTTTCATACATATTTTACAATAATTCGAGTGCGGTCGTAATATTTAGACGCCTCATAAAATGCATACGAACCGCTGTGAGATCGGATTGATCTATACACAGTATTTACCTCAATTACATCAGAAGTAACTGTAATTAAATTACAGATAAATGAAGAGTAATCCCTTACTTTACATTTTCAAGGGAAAAGTAGTTAAATTACAGTAACTAATTACTTAGTAATTAGTTACACCCAACACTGTTCATAACTTCATTTTTACAGTAAAATCCGATATTTAAAGCTCACAGCCGGACTTCTCATCGCGTGTGCTTTGATTTCTCCCAGTAGTTGATGAGTTGTGGACGCTGGACACACACTTCTACATTCTGATGGCCGAGACTTTGTTAACAGCGAATTTCTCTCCGGTAAATTGAACCTTGGAGAATTTTCTTTTCAGGAAAAGCACTTGTAAAAGACTCGCCCTCCCGTACGCTGTTCATTTTCCATGATCCCAACACAGTTTCATAATCAAACCTGCATGATAGATCCTCAGAGAAACGTCTTTCAAAACATGAGAATGAGGTTTGAGAGCTTACATTGTGTGTGTGTGTGTGTGTGTGTCTCGCACCGGATGCCCGAATCCGCCTCCAGCTCCTCAGCCATGTGTGACTCCAGATCAGGAGCTCACACACACACACACACACACACAAACACACACTCACACACACTTCTGGGGGTTCTGGCAGCGGGCCGCGCTCTGGCTGCACTTGAAACGGGCCACACACTCTTTGGCCGCGGTGCATAATTTGCTTCCTCTCTGATGGCTCTCCCTCCTCTTCTGTCTGGAAGACTGCAGGCCATCGGTTTATTAGACCAGAGAGAGAGAGAGACATACTGAGAGAATGTCTTCTCCGCCTCCTGCTCCTCTCACTCCATTATGTGCCCTTGTGTTTGTCTTCAATAGAAGTGGACGATTGTTGTTTAAAATTATTAGGCAATAGGTAAAACATAACAAAAATAGTAATACGTTTATTCAGCAAGGATGCATCAAATTGATCAAAAGTGACATTTATAATGTTGCAAAAGAGTCTATTTCAAGTAAATGCTGTTCTTCTGAACTTTTTGTTCATCAAAAAACAGTTTCCACAGAAATATGAAGCAGTTTTCAACATTGATAATAATCATAAATGTTTCTTGAGCATCAGATCCTCATATTAGAGTGATTTCTGAAGGGTCATGTGACCCTGATGATAAATTCAACTTTGATCTCAGGATATAAATTAGACGTTACTATATATTCACAGAGAAGACAGTTATTTTAAATTGTAATAATTTTTCACTATTTTTACTATATTTTGTGTGTGTGTTTATGTCTGTGTTCTTCTTAGTAGCCATTAATACCATTTCTATATTTGTGTGAGTGTGTGTCTTGGATTTGGAAGTGAAATGGAGCGGTCATAACATCATTTATTGAATATTAATGTTTGGTTTCAGATTCAAGGCAGATGCAGACGTCTCCGTCCTGGTCGTACGAGCAGTCGTACCCGTACCTGGGCCCGATCTCCACCCCGACGGTCCACCCCACGACCCCCATCTCACCCAGCCGCAACGCCATACACTGTGAGTGTTTCCATATATATTATTATGGCTGTTCATCTGTAAACCAGCTGATTCAGTGGCTCATAAAGAGAGTCATTTACTTCATTCCTGAATGAATCGGCTGTTCTAATGAATCAAATGAATGACTTGCTCATTAAGACGTTTACTGCCACCTTCTGGCCATTTTAGTTTCTTATTTACAGTGTCACTTCATTAAAAATATATTTTGGGGATAGTTTGCCCAAAAATTACACGTCTGTCACTTTCTCACCCTCATGTAGCTTCAAACCTGTATGATCATAAAATAAGATATTTTGAAGAATATTAGTAACCAAACTGTTTTGGTATGCCAATTCAGAGGCAGCTTCTGAAAATAATAATAATAATAATAATAATGGCTGTTGAATAAGCCTAAAAGTTTATGTGTAATAAATGCCATGTTGAATCAAATACGATATTTCTTTCTAAATCTACTGTCTGTAATGTCTATTTGAAATGTGATGTTTCTCGTAAGAAGAGACCCCAGTGATGTCATCATACGCAGATCTCAGTGATGTCATCATACGCAGATCTTTATTCGAATTCCATTCCTTATTTTATTTAATATTCAAATAATATTCGAATATTAAATGCTAAAATGTATCCTGTTATTAATATTTACGACATTACACAGGCTTATGGATCGCCAATGCCACTATAGCATGTGGTTGTTGTTACATGTTCTGTCCACTAGAGGGAAATCGATGGTTTCGGCTAATATCTCTGCGAAAACACCACCAAAAATTCGGAAACTTATATCGTTCTTTTCAGTTCGACTAGACGGTTCCAACAAGCTCAATGCGCACCGAATCCGTTGAGATATTTGCTTTTTTCGCTTCATGGGCGCTTTTTACGCCGTTAAACATTTAGGCTACCATTTTTGACAGTTGTTATGATGATACACCGTGGATACATGCACACTTGTGTTACGATTCAAAAACTTTATTGTTCATCAGACGAAACAAAGGCGTTTAATTTTCACGTGCGTGTAAGCCAAGGCGGCGAAAAGGCAAGATTAAAAAATAATATATATTTTAAAAAGCAATATTCGAACAGTAGCTTCAGCGATGTTTTTTATTATTCAAATTATATTCGAATTTCGTAGTTCTTTCCAACAGGCCTAATATCTATGGGTGTGTAAAACCGCATCTGAGCACATGTTCTGTTTCCCTGCAGGTCCCGACCTGACGGCGTTCACTGATCCTCGCGTCGGCCTTGATCGCTCCTTCCCCTCGCTCCCCTCTCTACCGGACGGGCGTTTCACGGACCCACGCGTGCCGTACCCGACCGGGCCGTTCACCTACACCCCCACCCCCGTCACCAACGCCATCGGCATCAGCATGTCGGCCATGACGAGCCCCGCGGGACGCTACCACACGTACCTCCCGCCGGCGTACCCCGCGGGCTCCTCGCAGGCTCAGGCGGGACCGTTCCAGGCCGGCTCGTCCCCGTATCACCTGTACTACAGCAGCGCCGCCGGATCCTACCAGTTCTCCATGATGCCGGGAGGAGAGCGTTCGCCGCCGCGGATCTTACCGCCGTGCACCAACGCCTCCACAGGCTCCGCCCTCCTGCACCCGTCGCTGCCCAATCAGAGCGACGGCGTGGTCGAGGCCGAGGGAAGCCACAGCAGTTCGCCGACTAGCATGTCGGTCGAAGCCGTCTGGAGGCCGTATTGACGTGTAACACAAGTTCTCTAGATGTTACAGATATCTGACGCGTACGGATGGCCGTGTGGACGTTTGAAGGACAGTCGGTTTGACCAATAGGATGCGGGCAGCTGAACGACGAGGTTTCTGATCATTTGAACATTTGAGTCAAAGGACGGATTTTATCACAGCACAGCATGAGACTCGCTTGTTTGTTTGTTTTCAAAGTGGATAGTTTGTATTATTATTATTATTATATTATTAAAATTATTGTTGTTGTTATTATTATTACTGTTGTTCGTCTCATCATCACTGTACTTTTATCAGCCGTCCAGCATTGTGTTTCATGTCTAACACACTCTACGCAAGTGTTTAAATGCATTTCGCTAAAGAAAATATCACTTTCAGCCATCTATCGATTGCAAAACTACTTTGCATTAAAAAAAGAATCATATGCCATAAATTAAAATAAGTCTTTTTTTTTTGTACTGTAATGATTACTTGTTCTGTTCGCTTTTTGACAATAATTAAATATTTAAATAAATATGGGTTCAGACACTTAATAAAAATAGTATCATCTGATACTCAGTTTTGCATTCAGGAAGCTGATGTAAAACATCCTAAATAACTATATGCATAATGCCAGAAATTAAATTTATGCATTTTATGTTTTGTATTGGTTGCTTATTCAATCTAACAAAAAAAATTGCTGCCTTCAATTTTTAAGTTCAATCAACCATAAATTAAACTAAAATTACAAAAAAATGAGTTGAAATTTTCAATTGTTGAGTTAAAGCAATGTAAAAACTTGTCATAACTTATTGATCATATTTTTTTTACAGTGTTGTTTAAATTTCTGCTTTTTGACAATAATAATGAAATATTGAAATAATTCAAAAATTGGTTCAGACACTAGATATAAAATAACTAGGGCTTTGGATGCGATTAATCGCATCCAAAATAAAAGTTTGTGTTTACATAATATATGTGGGTGCACTGTGCATAATTATATACACACATGCTTGTATATATTTAAGAAATATTTTATATAGTATATACTGTATATATATATTTATATATAATTTATATTATATAAATTTAAATATTTTATAAATCATATTTTTTTTCTTAAATATACAAGCATGTGTGTGTATTTATATATTTTGTAAACACAAACTTTTATTTTGGATGCGATTAATCGCGATTAATAGTTTGACAGCCCTAAAAATAACATAATATCAGTTGATCTCTATTTAATATTCCATTCAGGTCGATCGATGATTTATACATGTCAATTAACTGACTTAAAATCGCTCTGTTTTCTTTAAACTCCACCATAACTGGAGAAAACTGGCGATTTACACTAACGTCCATCATGTAATGATGCATGAACTTGATCGTGTGTATCTGAAGCGTTTGCATTCATAGACTTGCGTGGGGTCTGTTTGGGGTCTGCAGTGTGATCCGCTCGCGACTGGATTGATTGAAGTCACTGAACTGGTCGACATCTCGACATACGGACAGAAAGTTTCCCGCTCTTTCTCCATTTCCGAGGAGGAGCCAATCACGCCTCTTCTAGTTAAACACACATCTCCAGGTTTACGAGACGTCTCCCGGTCACGCGCGTTCCCTCCGGGAGATTTACAGGACTTCCCGACTGTTCGCTGGATCACATCATGATTTCTTGTGTAAATAGATTGTAAATTACTTTGACACACGACACGGTTCTCAACTTCCACAATTGTGAAACATGCAAAACCTTCTGGAATGCAGCTTATTTTTTGTCCTTTTTGTCCCTTTTCAACATTTCTTTGGAGAATATATCACTTTGTTGTGAAGAAGCTTATTTCTATACAGTGCTGGTGTCTTTATTACTGTGTTCAGTGTGTGTGTGTGTGTGTGTGTGTGTGTGTGTGTGTGTCGTTTCAAATCAGCTCAAACACTATTATGATGATTCATATAGCATGACTTGCTCCAAAGTATACAATGCTGGTCCAATAAAATGTAATACCATAGTATTTTCACAGCAGATTTTGCACAGATAAGCCCTCACGTTTCCATAAGTAAATTATAGTTTTCTAAAATCTTAGAGTTTTTTCATTATTATTATTATTTGAACAGTTTCAGTTGAAACAAAGTTGGGATTAAAGCACTTTTTGCTTCAATAACTGTTATTGTATTAAATCAATAACCATCAATAAAATAATGAGTATATAGGGAGCAGAGGTCTAAAGACTACCTGAAAACCATACTCGAGTAAAAGCACAGATGCATTACAATGAAAAGGACTCAGAATAAAATACATATTTGAGCTGTTTAGGTGGAAAGCATTGCTCTAACTAACATATCTTAAAAAATATGCCTAAAAAAATATTTTACTCAGTCGGACTTGATGAGTATTCCCTTTACACGCCCATTTTGACCACTAGCTTACAACCAACCTCTATCTTTAATGATAAATACCCAATTGAGAGATTAACGCATTGTATTAGGATATCTTTTAAAAACAAAACAACACCAAACTGTACATTTAATCAAGTTTAATTATACATTTATAAATAATATTAAAGCTGCAAGCAGCATTTAGCGGTGTTCAAGCAATAACCTTTAAGTATAAAAGCATCAAAAGACATTACGTTTTATGTAGCAAGCATTTAACCGCTGATGGAATAGACCATCTTTTAGCATGATTTGTGATTTCAGTGCGATTTTCATTATTTACCATGTTCCAGTATGATTTACCATGAATCTAGCCTGATTTACCATAGTTTTGTGCTTGAACGCCTAATAAGAAGACCTTTTTGATGGTTATAGCGCCACCTATGGTCCAATCTCCATTAAACCTGCCATGCTTCCTGACCATGGTATATGCTCCTAAATTTTTGTGAAGTTCTGAGTTTTCCTTTAGGATTTATAGGCTTTTGGTTGCATTTTGTCACGTCCCTTTTCTAAATAAACCTGTATAGCAAAACAAATGGCAAAGTTCAACTGTTTTCAATAATTACAAAAACCTTGGACCTGGTCACATGATAATAACATGTAGTATGTCCAGATTATATTCATAAATACTCATAAGCGGTTGCAACGTGAGTACTCATTAAAATACTTACGCAAACTTGCGATTTCAAAGTTCGAAGGGGGCGGGGCATCGGATTCTGATGCTGATGGACAAAAACAACCTTATAAAAGTCATACAAGTGCATAAGTAAACAGTGTATAAGTGCATGTGTGTGATTAGGGCCACAGCTCGTGTCATCTTATGCTGATAACAGGAACTCTTCAGTGTTTATCGCCGCCTGTCTCTCGTCTCTATTCTCGACGCATGAAGAATTTACACAGAGCATCAGACGAGTCTCGACCTGCAGATATTACACTGATAAACGACTCTCTCTCTCTGTGCTGCCCGCGAGCTAACACACGAGACAGGAGCGAGGAGACGGGCTAAATAAAGGCCGGTGTGTGTGTCGGACACTGGCGGCCGGGCCGAGGCTATAACTGGGGTCTAGGAGTCGAGCCAAGGCCTATAAAATCAAATCGCCTTTATAAAAAGAGCTCAGGGTGTGAGAGCAGCATGTCAGCACCACACACACACACACACACACACACCGCCGGCGCGTCGAGTGCTAATACTTGGCAGAATGTGGTGAAAAATGAGGCTATTTGGAGTAATTGGACCCTGTTTTCTGTGATCTGGTGCTATATAATTGATAGAAAAATAGGCTATATTTGAAAGCATTCTTGCGCAAAACAACTGTTGCGTAAATATGTGCCATAAATTAAAGAAATTAATCAAATATTCATAGCGCATTTTCATTAGCCTAACTCTTGATTATTCCTTGCTTTATTTCTGCTTTTTGCCAATGATTAAATATTTTAATATCAGTTGATTTAGGTAGCATAGATAGTTGCTTAGTAGCTATGTAGCATAAATATGCAAAATAATCAATTAATTAAAATAATTAATAACAGTTTTTTTTAATTGTTGCTTATCTAATAATTAGCCTACTTGTTGTTTTATTTCTGCTTTTTGATTTAAAAAAAATGAATATTTGAATAAATAAATATTGGTTCAGTTATCAGGCAGTAAAAAATATATCAGAATGTATAGCCTAACTTTTGGGAAACACAAAGAGTTCATATAAGAAATGGAGAATGACCAAGAAAATTATATATATCTTCATTTGCAGTTTTGCAGTGGCTTGACCTCTGTAATAGTTGAAATAAACTTTTAATACATGCAAATAAAATAAAATGTGGTTTGTGCACTTGAAGAACATTTTTGTTTTAAAAAACATATTTAATTGATACGTATGTAACAAAATCATAATACTATAACATTTTAACACAGTGGGGATGAATTTGAATATAGATTTTATTTTACATGTATACAAATTTCATTAAATTGTTTTAAAACGGACATTTCATTATATTTTAAGGAAGATTTGAAGAATGACCTAATTGTTTCTTAAAACTCGCTGTTGAGGAATAAAGTTGTTTATTTTTTGTTATCAGTAACAATAAAATGCTCAGAGCACGTGAAATGTTTGAGATCTTTTACTTCAAATAGAGAAACTTTTACCATTTTGCAAAGCTGATTTTGTGTTTTCAAGTCCAGTCTCTATTTTATTATAAAAATGCCCAAAATGTCCTCGGGGTCAGAGGTCACCCTCAGGCTATTCATCAAGCGTGTCATCGTCCCTGACCGGCTGAGGATCGATATGAAGTGTCATCAACCCTGACAACTCATCCATACCTACAATATTCAGCGCCTGTCATTTCACATCGTGATTAATCACAAATGCAAATGATGAATAGCGGGCAATTAATCGACATCAACCATTAATCTAGATGCTGACATATTGAAGGACAGGAGCGACAGAGGAAGTTTTGAATCTTATGAATAAATTAGACTGGAATATCAACTTTAATTTATTTGAGTTTTTCTAGATATTTGGATATCATAATTTGCAGGCGCTGGCACTGCCTCCCTTAATATTATAGGCTAACTGCAAAAACATTGTGGCACAATACCTTACTTTTTGCATATCATAATTTCAATGATAATGATGATGTACAGTGCTGTAATAGATTTCAATATGTGATAAATTAGTATTAAAAAATCTTTAAAATCTCAGTAGACTTACACAATCTTTCCTTTTTTTGGATAAAGTATGCTAAACAATACTACAGCAGGGACTTTTACATTTGTTTTGGCCAAATATATTCTTACAGACTATTTATTTTGTTAGACTGTTCATATAATTATTTTACGTTCTTTATTTCAGTACTGACAGAAATCAATACGAAACAGTAAAATAATAATAATAAATAATAGTAGCAATAAAATAAAATACGAAACAGTAGAGACTTTACATTTGTCGTGTGTTTACGCCAACACGCTCATTTGCGTCATCACGCAACGTGCTGACGAAATTCCGTTACGCGGGAAATTTTGATAGTTGCGTTCGGAACAAAAACAATCGCGTCAGAACAGAAGGACCACCGCAGTTCCCGCTCGACCGAAACGAGCACGATGGCGGAGTTGGGCTGCTACTCTCCCAGCTTTAAAAAACCGTGTGATGTTCTTCGGATGAGACGGAACCGGGCGAGGAGCGAAGGGCCCGAGCGGAGGACTTCGAGTCCGGTCGTGTCGGTGCCCGGAGTCCGCCCGTTTTCACCGGGGCCGCT